GTGATGATTTGCGTAACACTTTTGCCATGTCACATGCCACATGGCGAAACCGCACGAAATCCTTTCAATGGGTCCCACATCACCATTAAGAATTGCTTCTTTCCCCGTCGATTACTGTTTTTATTCTTTTCCGATGCGGTTTTTATTCTTTTCCGGTGCTCTTTCCATTTTTAAGATTTAAGTTCCGACAGAATAAAACCCACTGTTTCTATTCTTTTCCGTGTTCTTTCCATTTTCAAGATTGTTCGACAGAACAGAACCAGCAAAAACATTTCATGGAACTCAGCTCGATTCACTAATTCAATTGCCCAAAAATCCCTGCAATTTAGCTAATCTCTTGGCAAATAATCATATAACCAAAAAATAAAACCAATTGCCCAAAAATCCCTCACAACAACCTGCAATTCCAATTCAAATAATCTCTAGGCAAACAATCATATAAACAAAAAAAAAAAAAGGTGAAGCTGGGTTCTGGGTTCGGTGGAACCCAGCCACTGGGTTCAATGACCCGAGGGAGGAAGAAAGAAGAGGAAGAAAGAAGAGGAAGGAAAAAAAAGAAAAAGAGAAAGGAAGAAGAAGGAAGAAGATGAATGGGAGTTATTTTATTTTATCTTTTTAAAATATAAATAGTAATAGATATGAGGTGGCATGAAAAAAAAAATCCATGTCAGCACGTCTTCAATTTATTTTTGCCACGTCTTCAATTTATTTTTGCCACGTCATCAAAAAAATTATAAAAAATGCCACATAAGCTAGTTAACGATCAAAATTAACAGAAGGACTAACGGAGTGCATTTCGTATAGTTGAGGGATCAAAAAAATGCAAAAAATTGTTGAGGGATCAAAAATGTTCATTTCTTAAAGTTAAGGGACCAAATCAAGCATTTAACCTTCTAACATTTATAGTGTGGGGGAGCCAATTGAGTGGGTTCGACAGTGCACACGTGAGAGAATAATTAGAATACATGTATAAAAATGTTATATTAAATTTAAAAGACATATTTATTAATATATACACCCATACATATAATATATAATCTACAATTTAAATTATATATTAAAATTATTATTTAACTTCTAAATTTCTTAAAATATTTTAAATAAAATAATATAAAAAATAATTTTATTAAATGCATTTTAATAAACTACTTTTTTTAAAAAAAATAAAGACAACACACATCATAACTCTAAAATCAATCAATTTAAAATCATACAAAATTCCATATATTCAAATAAACATAAACACCCGAAACGATGAGAGACAAAGAACTCCACAATATCAATGATTGTAAAATAGTTTTTACTCATGATGATAAAATAGTGTGAAATTTTATGATAACGGTTAGTTGTTTCAATTTATTGACCATTTAGAAATGCATTCAATGTCACTTTTCCTGGACATGACCAAGTAAGAACTGAGAACGTATTTGCTTATTTTCTACCTCTAGCCTAGCGAGACATCCAACACAATGGACAATTTCTCAAAAAAATATTTTCTACTCTTAAGTTCACATTGATTAATTAACCATAATTGATTAACCATAATTTTTAATTTTTTTTTTTGTGTTTTGTAAACTATTTTATTTTTTAATATTAAAATATAAGTTTTTATTTATTAAAATTATTAATTACTTAACATTTATGTTTTACTTTATAAATTTGAAGAATAATTCATTTTTTGTCATTAACCTTAAAATAATTACTCATAAAAAGAATTAAAGTTCTTTAAAAATAAAAAATAAAGATATTACTTCTGTAAAGAGAATGTCTTTTTAAGTCATTTTAATATTATATTAAATTAAAAGATTTTTTATAAAAAATTTTACCAAATAACTTTTCATTTTGAAAATATTTCTATAAAAAATTTTACTAAATACTTTCTCCCTCTTCAAAACATGATTTCTATAATAAATTCTTTTAAATAGGACTTTCATAAAAAACTCCAATCACACCTAATAGATTCTAAGGTTACAAGTCTAGGATGTAACAAAATGGTATCAAAGCCACAGCTTTGTTAAGATACAAGTTACATAATTTGGGTGTTTTTGTTCTTCCTGTATATAGTAACAGCAAAAGGAATAATGATAGATCAAGAGCACACACTAAATTCGGGTGTTCTCTTTTTCCTGTATATGGTAACAGCCAAAGGAGTAATGATGGATCAAGAACATACACTATATCACTATATTTGGGTGTTCTGTTTTTCCTGCATATAGTAACAGCAAAAGGAATAATGATAGATCAAAGAGCATCCACAGTATTTGGGTGTTCTGAGTAACAGCAAAAGGAATAATGATAGATCAATAGCATATACACATTACTTGGGTTTTCTGTTATTCCTGTCTATGGTAACATCAAAAGGAGTAATGATAGATCAAGAGCAACACATTACTTGGGTGATCCGTTATTCCTGTCCATGTTAACATAGGAGTATTGATGGATCAAGAGCATATGCAAGAGAGTAGGAAATTATTGTGGGTCCTGTTATTGGAGAGGTGATGCTAAATGGAACTTACCCCCACAAGCCGAATGCTAATTTCGACGCTGGCGACTGCTTGCAGAAAGTCTTGGCGACCTTCGAGGAAGAGGCAAGTTATCAGGAACTCTTGGAGGGATGTTGGCGGTGGCCGTTGCAGCAAGCCTTGGCGACCTTCGAGGAACTCTTGGAGGGGTGTTGGCGGTGGCCGTTGCAGCAAGCCTTGGCGACCTT